ACACAAAGTCCTGTCCTCCAGCATGGACCCAACTTCCTCTCCTTTGCCTCCAAATCGTATATCCTATAATATCCCAAAGTTCAGATAATGGCATTAAAATCTATCCATCTGTCCTAAGACAAAACTCAGGGGTCATCCTAGACCATTCTCTCTTCTGTACCTCTTTCTTCCTCACTTTCAGCCTGGGAGCCAAGCATATCAGAACCCTGGACCTATTTCTCAAAAGTGCAGAATTTATAGGCCACCATCACCTTCTTCCCTAGCATAAAACTGTACAACAAAATGCTGAAAAGCCAGTTAATTTTATAAATCCTTAACACATATGTACTTAATTTATGGAAGCACTATGTAAAGACAAACTACTTCTAATATTGAAAGTTTCATTCTGAGGAAGAGATGTGACTTTAATAAGTTAAGTCATAACCCCTCAGACTAGCTGGGCAATGGCATTGGTGGGATTGATTTCTTATAATCACAGATCTATTACAAGTGACCCAACAACATCTTTCTTCACAAAAGGAGGGGTAGGGGGGCAAACAGCACAAGAGAAGGTGCCACCACACAACCTCAACAGGTACAGGAAAGGAGACTTTTAAGTGTTGAAACTCCAGAAGCAATTCCAAAGCAGCACTGCCAAGTATGCTGTTCCTTTAATGAATGAGTCCAGCTCCCCAGCTGTATATATGATTGGGTTAATAAAACCAGCCTTCATAAAGCCAGTGAAGATTCAATGATAATACTTTGAATGAAAATACTTTGTAGCCTGGCTGGTGTGGCTGAGTGGTTGAGCATCGACCCATGCACCAAGAGGTCACCAGTTTGATTCCCGGTCAGGACACATGCCCAGGTTGTGGGCCCGATCCCCAGAGTGGGGCATGCAGGAGGTGGTCAATCTATGTTCTCTCTCATCAATGTTTCTTTCTCTCCCTCTCACTTCCTCTCTGAAATAAAAAAATAAAAAGGAAAAGAAAATACTTTGTAAAGTAGAAAATCCCATAAAATGTCAGTTAATTCTAAAGTGAGATGATCTAGCCCAGTAATTTCTTCCAACTTTGGATCCTAAGCCTCAGGGGTTCAGCACCACCAGAACTGTTGCCCACTAAAGGCAAAATCAACACACAGATCATCTCTGAGGCTGGTAGAGTGAAATAAAATACAGAGTAGTCCTCAGTATTAAGAATTAAACTGGCAGAGTTGAAAAGCTAGAGGTCCAGGATACCTTATTTTAAAATGGGAACCAGTGAAAAACTATCATTGGAAAACGGGATTTGATAAATAAAACGACTTTATAGCCAACTTGACTGAACTCCTTCTTAAAAGTCTTTATACATCAACACAAATATTTGCCACTGTGTTTAAATATTTATTGGTTAACACTGATTACATGCAACCAATCACATTACTTTTGGTAACAAAGCAAAGCAAATGGGAAGAAAGATCAGCATAGGCCTATTATCACCACTAGTAACATAAAGGGCAAGTCCCTCTCATTGATCAGGAGTCAAAAAAGTCATCTGTGCATACTCAATGATGACATATTTTTATTTACTTGTGCCCTGGCTCATCCTTAAAAAAGTGAAAATAAATAAAAGATTTAAAATGGTGAATGGCCATTAATACTAAAAAAATATTAGCTTCATTTATTGTTGTTATATTTACTAAGAAAGCATTCAGGGAGCTAGATTTGACTTCTTAGTAAATTTTACCAACCTCTTACTAAAAAGTCATGTTATATACTCTATATACTGATGATAAATATAAACCACACAGCACAATGCCTAGAACATTGTAAGCAATCCACAAAATGTGGTTTCTATTCACAGTAGGCTATGAGCTCTATGAGGGGCTATATTATTTGGTTTTGTCTTGTTCAGCACTCTATCTCAAGAAACACAGTCCACTATCAGGTCCATAGTTGGTATTTAATAAATACGTTGAATAAATAATTGAATATGATTTAAGAGTAATTTTCAACTCTCATGTATTCTATGGTTACCAGTGCCCCACCTCCTCTAATCAACAGCAAGGGTCTGGAAAACCATACCCCAGAGAAAAGGCATTTAAGTTCCTATTTATGTTTCCTTAAACTAACCACAAAGATTCCCTCCCCCCATTCTGTCCCAAAACCACAAAATCAATGCTTTGCAACAATGTATTCTTAAACATTTTTGCTTCATTTCCCCTCACAGACAATGCACAAAGTTCCTTAAAACTGCAAGACTTAGTTTAGTTCCCCTTACTCCTTAAAAAGGAAAGGCATATTTGTAAAACCTTATCAATTCTCAAATTCCTAGTCTGATTCCTTGATCTTTGATTTGTGGTTGGTTATCACACCAGCTCTATTTGCATTTCTAGTATATACTTAGTACAAACTAAAATAATTAAAATAGCCTTAATATAAAAAAAATTTAAGTTACACATGAAAGCATAACGTACTTCAGAATAATCAAATTAGGAAACTAACACATATTTCAGTCATGGTGCATTCCTTAAAATACTTTCAGAAATTCTTTTAGGGAACAGATATCAGATCCAGTTCTACAAGTCACACAAGAAATTCTGTGTCGTTATTTTTTAGTGGAGACTTCTATTAGACATAAAATAGTATCACCAACTTGACTGCTTCATCTTTCCACCTGACTTTAGTACAAATTCTCTAAATTATTTGGATTCAATTTGATTTTGTTATTCCCTAAAATCAAATCTGCACTCAATGGATGAAGATGGTGAAAAACAGCACAGTCTCCAAATTGAATTCTAAGAGAAGTTCAAAAAAAGTATTTTCTGCCACAGCTGAAACATTATTAATTGAAAGAACAACTTCAAATAACCACTCTGAATAACACAATGTTCACTTGTAAATCTAAAATCTGATCTTTTTAATCCAAAATTAATTGTATTTGTTTACAGTCAATTGTGACAAATATCAGTTGTATTTTCCTCCACCAATGTGCTATAGGTTACACCTTAAATCCCCTTCACAGAAATCCCACTAAAAAACAAACTCTGCCTAGAAAGACACACAAACTTAACAGTGGTTGTCTCGGAGGAAAGGAACAGCATGGTTGGAAAACAGGAAGAAAAGACTTTTCACTGAATATTCTTCCTATTTCTTAAAACTTGTTTAACAAAATTACTTCCAAGTGTCAGATATTTCTGGCTTCTAAGTCAGAAAAGTATACTACCACTAAAGAAGTGTGGAGTTCATTTTAATGGCACTTCTCTGAGGATCTGGACCTCCAGTTCCAGTGCAGAGCTATTCACATCAACAGCAGAGAAACCTTCCAAGCAGTTCTTTTCAAGTTCACTAAACCCACCACAGTTGGGCTATTTTATTGTATCATTCCATTAAAGTTTAAACACCATTGGAAACAAAAACTTGGTACTACAAAAATTAATGTGTCAATTCAATAATGCAAAACATAAACTAATAAGCTATTAAAGGAGCAATGATCCAAATACATTTTTGAAAATTAGCAGTAACATACACACACACACACAGTAAAATGCTGCAAATTCCCTTTAAATGTAGACCATCATACAATAAAAATGTGGAAAATATGTCAACCATGGTGCCATCAGCAATATAATTCAAGCAGCTTGAACTAGATAATGCAATATGATCTGTTGCTGGACACAATTGCACAATCTCAATTACCCAGAAGATTCTACCAAACAGGAAATTCATGATGTGACTTTAAGAAACACAGGGATTATATCTAAAGATTAATACGTTCAAAAGCCTGGAATATGTTTCAAAACAAGAAATAAGTTTACAGACCCCTTTTCAAATGTTGCATGGGCATGAATTACATGAATCAGTTTCAGATCAGGAGTTCTCAAATACAGTAAATCTAAAATATAGTGTATAAAACCTCAGAAGTTAGCGAAGTTAAGTGAAATGTTTCAGATCCAGAAATTTACAGTATTCATTTAATACAAAACAGACTCTCACAGTGTGAATTAAAGCTGATATATTCTACATGATTATAAAAACCACTGCGTACCTCAGGTTATAAATGTAGGCAAGTCCCCTGCAAACTCTCAGGGACTTTAAAAACAGGGTACTAGTCACAAGAATTATCGCAATTAAAAATATTTACAGTATCTCCCAGCATTGTTAAGAACTTTTTGATCTTGAGGGCGTCCAACGGATTTGAATCTCACTTGCTCCAAATGAGAAATGTGTTTTGTCAAACAATACTTAAATGAGCAGTGGAATGTGACTAATCAGTGAGGCCGCCAGTTTCTCAAGCTGCAATGCTCTGGCAGGCGCTATCACCCACCCCCCAGTCTGCGAAAAGGAAATACGCTTTCAACCGAATCGGAAACACACCACTCAGGCTGGCACGGCGCTCACCGAGATAAAGTCGGTATTTTAAGCTCTATGGGTCGCTGCTAATTCGACTGCAAATTCAAAAAGAACGATTCTCAAAATGGGATTGACAGAGGTTTGCAAAAAACAAACAAACAAACAAACGAGCAGAACGCCCTTCGTCGTCAGTTTTGCTCAGACGACCGCAGTCTCCCAATCCAACCGGGCTTTGCCCTTCTGCTTCTCCCGGCAACTCCCCGGGCTTGTCTGCTCAGAGGGCAGGCTCGGCGCCTACAATGGGCGCACCTCTGGACAGGGTCCCTCTGCTCGACGCCAGCAGGGAGACCCCACAGAAAACCACCCTCCCCCCGTGCCTGCACCCGCAGCAGCAACCCCCAGGAAGGGAATGCGCAGGGTGCGAGCCGGGGCCGAGCTCCCGCACCAGCACCACCACCCACTGCCCACCGTGGACCTGCATCCTGCACACAGCGGACCACCCACCTAGGTGTGCAGGGTGAGGGGTGCAAGGGGCACAGGGACTGCTGCACAGGGTCGAAGGGAAAGCGAGCCCTCCCCCAGAGAAAATTCCTGCCGCTTGATGCATCGCTGAGCCTTGGGGGCAGGCCTGGCTCTGGGGCATGAAGGACCAGCTAGCTATCACGACCCCAGGCCCAGTGACACTCACCACACAGAGCCATAGGCGCCGGAGCCCACCGGGGACAGGTTCTGGTAACGCTCGGGCACCTCCCAGATGGTCTTGTTCAGCTCCTGCCGGTAGAACGTGGGCCTTTCCTGAGACATCTTCCAGCAGCGGCCACGGGGGGAGGAGGTGGCCCTCCGGGGCCCCGCCTGCACCCGCACCCGCTCCCTGGCCCTCGTTGCCCACGCGGTAGGGCGGGAATCCCGCACTGGTGGCCCGCGCAGGTGCGGTTGCCGCGACCCGGCCGACTCCCGCGCGCACGGCCCCTGTCAGCCGCAGCGGCAGGACCTCGGCGATGGGGACAAGCCCTGCTAAGGGCAAGGACGCACTCGGAGGCTCAAGGCTGCACCCGACACGCTCTCCCTGCAGGGTCTCCCAGATCAGGCCGACTCCGGGCTGCGCCACCCGACTACCGCTCCAGCTGCGGCGCCTGCTGAGGTTCCAGTGGTCACTGTTGCAGAGCCAGCGAACAGGAGCCTCCCGCTGTACTCTCGCGAGAAGAGCTCCCGGGACTCTCCGCGACCGAGATTTTACCCAATATGGAACCTGCCCAAGGGAGGGGGTTGATGAGGGAAGAGAACGGGAGGAGCAGTTCTCACGAGAAGACGGCAACAGCTGGCGACCAGAGGAAGGAGCTCGTAGGCTGTTATTAAAGGCGCGAAGGCGGACCCGGGAAGGAGAGTAAAAGCAGGCAACACATGCGGCGCGCGCCCCTCCGTGGTTGGCGGGGCAAATGCCTGGTGAAAAGTGACAGTGACCAAAAAGGCGTTGGGAGAAGAGCCAAAAGATCTTTGAACCTGCGGTTAGTCACCAGCAGCAGAAGAGCAGCTGCTCAGCGGAACCCCCAATTTCCAAGAAATAATTGCATTTTAAAAAGAGAGAGAAAGGTTTCTTCCGGAAAGCTGTTGCATTCCCATATGCTCAAGGACATATGGCTTACTCTTCGGAATTCTGATGATATCTGTCCCAAAAGCAGACATTAGCCCTGCAATAACGCTAACGTTTTGCACCCAAACTCTCCTAGTATTTTTCAAACTTTTATGTACATAAGACCTTGGGAGTTTATAAAAGCAGATTCCCAGGATCCAAGGAAGTCTAATTGGATAGGTCCGTGATAGGTACCAAGAATGTGCATTTTTACAATATGTCCCAGGCAGTTCTAATTCTGGAAAGTCTCTAGTGTCTCCCTTTGAGAAGCAATTTTTAAACCACTAACCCTGAGGGCTTGAAACTGACTCCTGCCCTGAAGAGCTTCCACTGAAAAGGATGTTAAGCAGTTAATTCATGTCTCTCAAAGTAAGAACAGGGCAGAGAGTGGTCTTATTAGGCAAGCCAATAGACCTTTCTTAGATCTTAGATCCAGTTAATGCAAGAGAACTCCTTTCTTACACTCCCACTTAATAGGGTCATTTGAAAGCTGAACAAGATAATAAAAATGAATGGGCAAGGTATTATAACCCCATACCTACCCCCTATTACCAACCTATTCCTATGCTAAAGCTTGTTACAATAAGCAGAAGAATTGGACACTAAAAGAAATAACTAGGTACAAGCCAAGAAAATTCTCATTACTTCCCATGATTTTTCAATTTTGTGTCATGCATCCCTTAGAGTGCTCAGACTTTGCCTATCTTGTCCCAGTATCTAGCATAGTGCCTAGAACATAAAAGATACCCCAAAAATACCCTGGCCGGTTTGGCCTAGCTGTAGAGCGTCGGCCCACAGAATGAGTCGCGGGTTCGATTCCGGCCCAGGGCAAGTACCTCAGTTGCAGTTATTCCCCGGCTGCTCAGGGTCGTGCTGGAGGCAACCAGTCGATGTGTCCCTTTCACCTCAAGAGAGGATTAAACAAAATGCCCCATAAATATTTGTTGAACAAATTATGAACAATGACCAGGAAAAAAATAAAGACAATCTAAAACCTGATTCATGCAAAGCTTTCTCTTTCTTTTTTAATCCTCACCCAAGGATATTCTTCCATTTATCTTCAGATAGAGTGGGAGGGAGAGACAGGTAGAGAGAGAGAGAGACATTGAACGTGATAGGGACACATTGACCGGCCGCCTCCCACACAACCCTGACCAGGGCAGGGGACAACAGGAACCGAGGTATGTGCCCTTGGACAGAATTGACCCCGCAACTCACTGGTCTGCAGGCCTATGCTCTACCGCTGAGCCAAACTGGCCAGAGCAAGCCCCTTTCTTCCTTGCTTCCTTCCTTCATTCCTTCCTTCCTTCCTTCCTCCCTCCCTCCCTCCCCTCCTCCCTTCCTCCCTTTCTTTCCTTCCTTCCCGCTTAGCCTGGATTCTCTTGCCTACAAAGACAAGCCAACCTGCAGGTTAGGGAACTTTCAAAGAAGTAATGAAGGTTGAATGGGGAAATGAGAGCAAAAACATGACTGTGAAATAAATGAGAGCTGGGAGTGAGGAATTGAGGGGATGAGTCAACGGACACAAACGAGGAACCATTAAAGTAGGAATCCGAAGAAAATCAGAAATTTATCCAACAAATTGGGATGATGAGGCGAGAGTGACCATGCAACAAATATGTATTGAATGACTACTAGGTGCCAGGCACTTCCGATGGAAGGGTGATTTAAAAAACAGACACAGTTGCTGCCTACGTGGAGCTTACCATTAACTTCAGGGCAGTCATTCAACACATTTATTGAGCACTTACTACACCTACTACACTGTTTTAGATACTGATGATTCAGCTGTTAATGAAAGATAAATATCCCTGCCCTTATAGGGGTGAGACGATTTACAAAAAGGAATGGGTTGCCCTGGTCTGTTTGGCTCAGCGGTTAGAGCTTTGACTGGCAGACCAGAGAGTCCGGTTTGGTTCCCACTAAGGGCACGTACCTGGGTTGCCCTTTGTCCCCGGCCTGCTTGGGGTCGTGTGGGTGGCAACCAGTCCATGTGTCTCTCACATCGATGTTTCTCTCTCTCTCTTCCCCCTCTCTCCCTCCTGCTCTATCTGAAGATAAATGCAAAAATGTCCTGGGGTGAGGATTAAAAAAAATAAATAAATAAGGAATGGGTCAAGTGAATGATATGTTAGACATTAATACAGCCATCTAGCAAGTGTAAAACTGCAACGTCCGGTCAAGAATGTAAGGTTGTAGTGAGACACAGTGACCGGGACTGCGCTTAGGAAGCAGGAGGTTAAAGCAGTAAATGGAGAGAAAGCAGAGCCTGAGACCTGGGCAGCAGTGTCCTTCCGTGGGAGGAACCAGGCTTGTGGGGCCAAGAGCTAGGGCTGGAGACCTGGGTGACCCTTTAGCCTCTTCTGACCTGAGGTGGTTGTGGGGAGACTAAGTGAATTGCTGTATGTGAGGTGCGGGGCTCGAGGCCTGGCGTCAGGTCGGCCCTCAATCTAGGGGAGTCAAACCTGGAAGCTTGGTGATACAGTTAGGGCCTTCCATGGCCCCGGGAGGAACAGGGAGCGCGGCCAGGCCCCGCCCCCACCCCGCTGCCCCTGCTCCCCGACCTCGCCCCCACTCTGCCCCCCCCCCCCTGCCGGAACGCCCGCCGGTTCGGCCGCAACGGTTCGGGAACCGCCGGCTCCGTGTCTGCAGCGCCGCCAGCCCGGCCTGGACTCCGGCGCCGCCTGCCCCCGAGGAACAGGTGAGCCGCTGCCCGAAGACCCCGGGCCCGGTGCGAGGGGGCCCCGGTTACATTTCCCAGTCCCCGGGCGGGCGGGGCGCTCGGTCATCCTCAGGGCCGGGCACGTCGCGGGCGCTTAGTCAAAATGTGAGGGAAGAATGAATGACGGTCGTTCCTGGCAGCTTCTCTCTCAGAGGTATTGTCTCCACTTTTGAAAAACCGCGGAATGGCAGTGACAGTTGTGTGCGGTTTGCAAGCTGAATCCTTTCCAACTCGTTGGTCTGAGTGGTCAAAAGCCCCAGAACTGGTCTGCTGCCCCGGCCTCACCCCACCACCCATCCAGCTCCTCCTGAGGCCTGGTGCCTCCTGCTTTCAGACCTCACTGCTCTCGTTCATTCTGTTCCCCCTGACTGTGCCCCCACTTCCACCACCCATTTCTCTTCTAATCAAATCCTACCTATGCCCCCAGCCTTCTCCAACACCCCCACCCCAATAATGAGTTCTCTCCAACACACCCTACTGTCATACTCTCATCATGTGGCAATAAGATAATTGTTTCTGTGTCCAATGGTCAGCTCCATGGGGGCTGTCATCTTACTATTCCTCCCCAGCTACTAGTCAGAGTGACTGCAGGACACTGAAAGCAATGCTCTTTGCTTAGGCCTCTTCCGTATTCCAAATGCATTCCCCATTCAAATGTAGATGGTGATGGGCAAAGAGCTGGTCCTGATGGAGTTCCAAACACTTATCTGAAGTTTTGGAAGTGAATCTACCTTCCCATGATTATAGAGAACACGAAAGATGACAATATCAGGGGAAAGATTCTTGCAACTAAACCAAGGTTCAGGATTTCACATGTATTGGGTTGGATTTAAATTTTTTATTCTTGACTTTTAAAATGCTTTCAACACATTTTATAAATGAATCAATGGGTAGCTGGATAGATAGGGGTCTTTGAAGGGATGAAGGAGCTAGGTCAAAGTGCCTGTATTTTAACATTGTTTTCAAGTTTAGCATTGAAAGGCTAAATAAAGATAATTGGCTACATTTCCAGTGGTTCACAGACTTAATTGTGTAAGAGAATCACCTGGAGGCCTTCTTAAACCAGACTTCTGGCCCATCCTCAGAGTTTCTGATTAATTAGTTCTTGCTAGGTGGGACCTGAGAATTTGTATGTCTAACCTAGTTCCCAGGTGATGATGATGCTGTTTATGTAGGGACAGAGTGTGGGCTACAGAGATCAACTAATTTCTGTTAGTTAGTAGTGAATCCAGATACCCCAAAGTATGTCACATTTATAGAATTATAAAATGAAACCTTAAGTAGTTCAGAACCACAGTTCAGCCACTTAAATATTTTGTCTGACAGCAGGAAGCATCAGAGAATTGTTTTCTTTTTTTTTTTTCATCCTCACCCGAGGACACTTTTTTCCATTTTTCTGTTCAGATAGAGTGGGAGGAAGAGAGAGAGAGAGAAACATCGACGTGAAAGGGACACATCAAGTGGCTGCCACCCACACCACCAACCAGGGCCAGGGACAAACTGCAACCGAGGTATGTGCCCTTAGTAGGAACTGTACCTGAGTCTCCCTGGACCGCAGGCTGACGCTCTAACCGCTGAGCCAAACAGGCCAGGGCGAGAATTGTTTTCTAAGTGGACATTTATCTTCAAGATTATAGCTAAAGCTTAGCATGTTGTTGATATGACTGCGTGCAGAGGCCCGGTCACAGTGATGCTCAGGAGTCAGTAACAGAGACTCCCTCTTGTGTTGTGTCTCAGCTGAAAGGTCATTATCTCATCAGTGTAGTTTGGATAACATTTTTTTGAGATGCATGACCTTCTCCACACCAAAGTGCATCTGCCACTTGTCAGTAGGAGCTTCTGGTCATTGTACCTTGTGATGAAAGGAACAGGTCCTGCTAGTGTGTGAAAATGAGCCACGAGGGTTTCTATGAAATCAAGAAAGACATAATGGAGCTGGAGAAATTCCAGAGAAGACTACTAAAATCAATCCAATAAGGAAATCATGTGTTTTCCTATACTGCCTTTAGCCAGTCATAGGACGAGCCCTTTAAAGACAGCTTTCCACCTACCCCTCTAGTCATCCTCACTATGGTCTCACCAGATATGATTTGATTACCTCTCCCCTAGAGGTAACAGTAGTGGTCTCCAACTGGTCTTTTTACCATGGTCTCTTCTAACTCCAAGTACTGTTCAGTAGAGCTTAATGTGATGATAGAAATGTTTTACGTCTGTGCTGCCATGTGTGGCTGTTGAGCACTTGAAATGTAGCTAGTGTGACTGAGGAAGTGAATTTTTTCACTTTATTTTGATAAAGTTAAATTTAAATAGCCACAGGTAGCCAGTGGCCGCTGCCCTGGACAGCACAGCCCTAGACCTTACCATTGACACAACTTGTCTTCCCAAAGCATGTCTCTATGCATATTACTACATCTGCCCAAACACTTTAAAAACTAAAAAGTCCAGGTTGAACCCAGCATTCAAGACCCTCTAACAACAATAGGCCTCAACCTACTTTGGGGGCCTTAACATTGACTTTACTAAGATCTACTGAATTACTTGCTTTATTATCTTATCTCTGAAATGTATCCTATCCTTTTCCTAAAATAACCTATTTTCCTCCCTGCCCCCAGTTTGGACAGAGCAGAGCTCAAATCATGTCTCCTCCAGGAGGTCTTCCCCATCCCTCTAGGTTGGGATGATTAATTCCACTCTGTAGGAGATTACATGGTATTAGGACATGTCTATTTTGGAATCAGAAAGACCGAGTTCAGATGCTGGCTCTGCTATTTAATTATTGTAGGACTCTGAGGAAATCACTAAATTCATCATTAAAATGAATATAATCATTATCAGGAAAATAGTACCTATCTCTTGAGATGATGTGTGAAGAACCTGGCACATGCAGGCAGCAGTTAATGTTAATTATTGTATTTCTTCTCCTTAAACTCTTACAGCACTATAGTTTGCTATTTTTATTCTAATAAACTGTAGAGGTTTTGAATCTCTAGAGCACCTAGCATTCTGCAAATGTTTATGGAACAATAAATTAATTGACCACAGACAGTTGAAAGAACATTCTTTAGTCGGAAACAAATGAAGACCAAGAGTACATATGGGAGAAATTTACAAAATTACGAAAATAAAAGCAGACAGATTTACCAACTCCTAGTCTAGATGAGGGCCGCCTCTTGAAATATAAGTGATGTAGATTGAAGACAATAAAATGTAATACTACTTTCCATAGGTGACCTAATGGGATATGATACCTCCAAAGGGTAGAACAACAGAAAATATAAACACTTCAGCTTTGGGAGAGAGGGAAATTCTTGAGGGAAAAACTATAATTTGTTATGGGAGGAGATGAGGATTGTTTTGTGTGTTGTCTTCAGTAACAAGGCTCTTGATATAGAAGTCACACATGGTGGTCCACAGATTGAATCCAGCCTGCAGAGGTGTTTTGTTAGATCTGTACTATGTTTTTTAAAATACGTAAAGTAATTGACAACATTTAAAAGCCAGAAGATTTCACATAAAATCTGAAATTATGGCTTCTCTCGGAAAAGATCAGATCTGGCCATTAGGCCCAGCATGACCCATGACAACAATCACTGGAGCTGAGCAGCTGCTGCTGCCTCCTCCAGCCCTCTGTTCCCTCTGTCCTTGATGCCCGTGCATCGCCAACTTCTCGCCAACCCGGCCTTAGTACCACTTTCAGAAACAAAATGCTGGAGACTAATCCTCGATCCAACCCAGGATGGCAGTTACTATAATCTCAGTGTAATTAGCAAGTTAGTCAGGCTCTTTCAGTCGCCAGGCATAGATATATTGTAAGATTTCATTTAAAAAAAGGAAGACTGGGTCAATATTTCTATAAGTAGGGGAAAGAACAGCAAAAATATTACTTATGTATTAATATACAGTTCTACTTTTTTTTCTATAAAAGACATGAAGTATTAATTCTCTTAAGTGATACATTGTGAAATACCTCTTCTACCTTCTATATTCTCCAACAACATTGTCACTTCTTCGTTGAATCTGCGATTTTTAGTTCATAGGTGTTATATAGCACACGCTGCTACCCAATGCTTTAAGGGTAAAAATACTATGGTCCAATTACTTAAGTTTTCTAAAACCTCAGTTTTATCACCTATAAAATAGAGATAACAGTAATACTAGGATTGTTGTGCGAATTAAATCTAGTACAACGCTTGTTATATAGTAAGTGTTCTATAAATGTAGGCAATGATGATGATACATGATCATTCTAAAGGAAAATGAAGTTAATGATACATTAAACCTGTTTTCAGCCTAACCTATTAGAGAACTATTTGTATAATCTACATACTTTGTGTTTACCTATATTGTTTATAGCCACAATATATACTTTTTTACATTTTTGTGGAATAATTTTAGAGTTTATGCCTTTTTATTATTCAAAAACACAGATGGTCAAGAATGGTTACACTTCCTCATAGAGATGGATCTATATCCATCCTCATTAACTCCTCCTTCTCATTCTCTTAAAAGAGCAAGACCATACAGAGTTTTAAAGCTTAATGTGACCCTTGGAGATCATGTGGTCCAACTATGCCATTTATGAACAAGGAAACGGAAACTTATTTTTATTTATTACCTACTTATTTATTGATTGATTTTTTTTAGAGAGAGAGGGAGAAAGAGAAACATTGATGAGAGAGAACATCAATTGACTGCCTCCTGCATGCCCCCAACTGGAAATTTGGCCCACAACCTGGGCATGTGCCCTGACCAGGAATCGAACCAGTGGCCTCTGAGTGCATGGGTCGATGCTCAACCACTGAGCCACACCAGCTGGGCCTGAAATTTATTTTTTAAGAAACTTGCCTTCAATCAGACAGCTAGTTAGAAAAACAGCCAGGGCCAGAACCCCAGTCTCCTGATACCCTGTGCAATGCTTTTTCTGCTCCATCATGATGCCACAAATTGAATGCTACATGGTCATTTAAGAAATATTTGTTGAGGATCTGCTAAGAGTCAGACACTGTTCTGGACCCTGAGAATACAGCCACGAACAGTCAAAGTCCTGCCTCTCACACTTACTTTTTAAGAAACAGAGAAAGGTCAAATAGACAAATACTGAATCAGGAGTTGACAATTGCTGTGAAGAATAGGAAAGGGTAAAGGGATAATGGTAGGTGCACTATTTCCATAGAGAAGGAGTTAGAAGACACTGTATTGACTGACCACTTAACCTTTAGCATTTTCAGTGAAAATTGGTGGTTATACTGACTTTTCCCTCATAATCATTTCCCTACAACATAATTGAATATAAGGAAAACTAGACTATCTACAGGATACCTGGGTTCTAGTCCTGACCCTAATTATTTAACAATCAAGTCTGTTTAAACATCTAGGCTTTGGTTTCTCCAAGATGATAATAATTCTCACCTTGTATTCTTGATAGGGTTGTTTTGAGTATAAAATTGTAAAACACATGACAAAGTTTTATAATATGATGACGTGTTATACAAATATAAGGTATTATTATACGGAAATTTTACTTGAAGGAGTCTAGATTTTTTTAAAATTGTTTTTTGTTTGATCTGTTTCCATCCATCCAGGAATGATGCAACCAGAGAGGAGCATTCATGGTTTTGACTCTAAATATAGGGACTCTTATTTCACGTATGATGTTAAGCGAGATGTGTACAATGAAGAGACCTTTCAACAGGAGCACAGAAGGAAGTCTGCTTCCTCTGGGAACTTTGACATCGACATCACCACCTTCAGACACCATGTCCAGTGCCGGTGCGTGTGTGTAGTCATTGACCTGTCGCCAAGCTGGCAGCAACGTAACCCTGTTTGACTCCGTTTGGTGCCTACTTTTATCTTTCTCCTCTGAATTCCTGTCATCAGAACCCTTAGTTTACTGTGTGATTTCTCTCCAGTTATTGTGCGTGTGTGCTTTGTCTTGTAGCACCTTCTTGATTGTAAACATCTTGAGCACAGAGACCTTGGATGTCCCCCAGAATGCTAGGGATGATATTTAATAAATACATTGTTTGATTAACCACCATTACCAGTCTCTTAACAACAACACAAAAGCAACCATGGTGGACTAATTAATGATAGAGAATAACATCCTTCTAATCTCATACCCAGCTGTGCCCATGTGGTACTCATGGTCATCAACATGGGAACCACTTCCTCCGATACTCTCTGTGACTATGTGGGTTCTATAGTTCAGGGGGTTAATTTTTTAAAATATGGCTTTATTAATTTTTAGAGAGGAAGGGAGAGATAGAAACATCAATGAGAGAGACACAACTATCAGCTGCCTCCTGCATACCCCGCCCTGGGGATTGAGCCCACAACCCCGACATGTGTCCTGATGGGGAATCAAACTGGCAACCTCTTGGTGCATGGGTCAATGCCCAACCACTCAGCCACACCAGCTGGACCTGTTTCTGTGCTGTGAGAGTTTTAGCAGTCTGGTAAAGCTTATAAACCTCTTTGCAGAATTTTTATTTTTACTTTTTTTTCTTTTTTTTTTTTATCCTCACCTGAGGACATTTTTCCATTTTTTGTTTAGACAGAGTGGGAGGGAGAGAGAGGAAGAGAGAGGGAGAGAGAAACATCGCAGTGAAAGGGACACATCGAGTGGCTGCCTCCCACACAACCCAACCAGGGCCGGGGACAAACTGCAACCGAGGTACGCGCCCTTAGCAGGAACCAAACCCGGGCCTCTCTGGACCGCAGGCCAACACTCTAACCACTGAGCCAAACCGGCCAGGGCTTTTTTTTTTTTTTTTTGTGGTAAATATATTGTGTAATCATCACCACTGTTTCCAAAACTTTTCATCACCTTAAACAGAAACTCTGTACCCATGAAGCAATAACTCCCCACTTTCCCCTCCCCCAGCCCCTGGTAATCTCTCTTCTACTTTCTGTCTCGTGAAGTGCATAGTCTAGATATTTCATTTAAGTGGAATCACACAATATTTGTCTTTCGTGTCTGGCTTATTTTACTTAGCACAGTGTTTTCAGGCTCATCCATGTTGTAGCATGAATCAGTACTTCATTTTATGGCTGATGATATCCCATTGCATGTATATAGCACATTTTGTTTATCCAGTCATCTGTTGGCAGGCACTTGGGTACTTTCTACTTTTCGGTTATTGTGAACAATGCTGCCGTGAATGTTGGCATAGCTGTTCAGTCCCTGTTTTCAATCCTTTTAGGTATATACCCAGGAGTAGAATTGTTGGATTTTGTGGTAATTCTATATTTAACTTTTTGAGGAACTGCCAAACATTTTTGTAGCAGCTACGCCATTGTACATTCACACCAGCAATGTAGAAATGTTCCAATTTCTCTGTATCCTCTCCAACATTTGTTATTTACCATTTTTTAAATTATAGACATGCCAGTTGGTGTGAAGTGGTATCTCACTGTGGATTTTGTTTGTTTTTCTATTTCGTAATAACTAAATATGAGAAATGTCTATTTACTTCCCTACCCTTTTTAAAAATTAGGGTGTTTTTCTTTTATCGTTGAGTTGTAGGATTTTTGTTTTGCTTGGTTTGGTTTTGTTTGTTAGGTAATCTCCACCGGGAGATATTTTTCCATTGATTTTGTAGATAGAGTGGAAGGAAGGGAGGGAGAGAGAAAGAGAGAAACATCGATGTGAGAGACACCAATTGGTTGCCTTCCACACAGGGCCTGGGACTGAACCTGCAACTCAGGTACATGCCCTTGACCATCCTTTGGTCTTTGGGCTAATGCTCTAACCACTGACCCAAACTGGCCAGGGCAAGTTGTAGGAGTTCTTTATATGTTCCGAATATTAAACCCTTATCAGGGATATAATTTGCAAATATTTTCTCCTATTCTGTAGGTTGTCTTTTCACTCTGTTGATAGCGCCATTTGGTGTACAACAGTTTTTAATTTTAATGAATCCAGTTTTTCTATTTTTTATTTTGTTGCCTATCACTTTGGTGTCATATTTAAGAAACTTGTGAAATCCAAGATCATGAAGGTTTCCTCTGTATTTTGTTCTAGGAATTTTATAGTTTTAGCTCTTAAATTTAGACCCTTGATCCGTTAGTTCTGAGTTAATTTTGTATGCTAAAGTGAGGATCCAACTCCATTCTTTGCTCTGTGGACATCCCATTTTCCCAGCACCATTTGTTGAAGAGACTGTTCTTTCCTCATTAAATGGTCTTGATCAGAATTTTTTTCAATGTATAAAATACATATAATTGTAAAGGAAACCAGTTTTATTGAAATATAGTTATCAAAATATGAAAAATCCCAAAATTATGTTATTTAATAATGTGGGTCTAATAACTACCATAATTTCAAAGTAGTGATGAATATAAATGATATTTTAATATATCGGCAGCAATTTTAATATAATATGAAAATATTTATGATTTATATTGGTGACAAAGTCAAGTTCTACTGATATTATTCTGGTTTGTTGTTAACATTTATAATTGAAAGAAATGCCCTAGTCGATTTGGCTCAATGGTTAGAACATCAGCCCATGTACCGAAGGGTTGCGGTTCGATTCCTGGTCCAGGGCATGTACCTGGGTTGCAATTTTGATCCCCGGCCCTGGTTGGGGTCATGTGGGAGGCAGCCAATCAATGTGTCTCTCTTACATCATTGTTTCTCTTTTTCTCCCTCCCTCCCTTCCACTCTATCATAAAAAAAAAAAAAAAAAAATCAATGGAAAAATATCCTCAGGTGAGGATTAACAAAAATAAAAGAAGGAAAGAAATGCCAATTTCAGTTAGAAGGTTAGTGAAAATAAGGATATAATTTTTTTCTAAATTCACGTACCCCCATGAATTCTATCTACAGGCTTAGAGAGTCCACAGACCTGTGGTTAAGAACCCTCTGTGACCTACTTTGTGATATAACCCTAGTTACTCAAGCTGTCCCCACTCACACTCTGGACTTATCACCCACATTTGGCATGTATTGGGCGACGAGTGAGAAAGGCCTCCTCCCAGCCCTGAGGCATCCCCTTTGTCCCTATCCTGCCTTTTGCTAGTTATGGTCCCAGATGTCCCTCCTAGTCTCACACTACTACTCTCGTTTTCTCTGCTCCAGGATGGGTCAGACACCCTATGTTAAAGAGGGCATTTGGGGGCCACTTTGTCATTGTCCTTATAAAAGAATAATCTTTTCCTGACTTATCCCTGATCATAAATAGGTACTAACCCTCCTCCCCCTGAAAGAGCCTTAGACACTTAAATCTGACCTGTTCTGCCTCCCATGGGCTTTTATAGCAGTTCTTATTGCCTACATCTAAAACACAGTTATATCCATTCTGGATTTTCACTATGGCACTGTGGTTAAGAGCAGGACTCAGAAGCCAGATTGCCTAGTTTGAATCCCAGTTCTGCTGCTTCCCAACTGTGTGATCTTAGCTATCCAACCCTACCCTGACTCAGTTTCCTCACTTGTCAAATGGTGATGGTAATAGCACCTACTTCATAGGTGATTGTGAAGATTTACTTATTATTTTTTTTAATCCTCACTGGAGGACATGCAACCGGGTATCAAAACTACAACCCAAATACAGGCCCTGACTGGGAATCGAACAGGCAACCTTCCAGTATACAAGACATTCAACCAACTGAGCCACTCTGGCTGGGCTACTTATTTTTCTCATTAAAGTATAGTTGGTATACAATATTATATTAGTTTCAAGTGCACAACATAGTGATTAGACATTTATATACCTTACAATGTGATCACCACTCTAAGTCTAGTAAACATCTGTCACTGGGCAAAGTTACCACAGCATTATTTACTATATTTCCCTTCACCTTTTTAAACCCCCCACCTCTAACCACCTCTCCTATGGTAACCATCATTTTGTCTCTGTTTCTGTGAATCTATTTCGTTTTGTTTTATTTGTTTCTTTTGTGTGTTTTTTCAGATTCTACATATAAGTGAAATCATGTGGTATTTGCCTTTCTCTATCTGATTTATTTCACTTAGCATAATACCATGTTGTCACAAATGGCAGGATTTCATTCTCTTTTTTATAGCTGAGTGATATTCCATTACATCACATCTTCTTTATCCATTCATCTATCAATGGACACCTAGGTTGCATCCATATCTTGGCTATTGTAAATAATACTGCAATGAATATACAATTACATATATCTTTTTGAATTAGTGTTTTTGTTTTCTTCAGATAAACACCAAGAAGTGGAATTGCTGGGTCATATGGTAGTTCTATTTTTAGTTTCTTTAAAAATAATTTTTTTTCTTTATTGGTTCTTAGAGAGAGGAAGGAAGAGGGAGAGAGAGATAGAAACATCGATGAGAAAGAACAATGATTGGCCACCCCCCACTGGAAACCTGGGCATGTGTTGTCACAGATTAATCCAAACCAGTGACCTGGTGCATGGGTCAACACTCAACCAGTGAGCCACACCGGCCAGGCTATTTTTAGTTTTTTAAGGAATCTCCATACTGTTTTCCATAGTGGTCCCACTAACAGTACACAAGGGTTCCCTTTCCTCCATCCCCACCAACACTCGTTATTTGTTGACTTTTTGATGATATCCATTCTGAGTTGTGTGAGGTGGTATCTCACTGTGGTTTTGATTTGCATTTCTCTGATGATTAGTGATTTTGAGCATCTTTTCATATGTATGTGTTATTTGGAGAAATGTATGTTGGCCATCCGTATGTCTTTGGAGAAATGTCTTTCATGTCCTCTGTCTTTTTTTTTAAGTCCTCACCTGAGGGTATGCTTTCATTGATTTTAGAAAGAGAGGAAGGGAGAGGGAGAGGGGAAAAAAGAAACTGATGTAAAAGAGAAACATTGATTAGTTGCCTTCTATACATGCCCTGACCAGGGATCGAACCTGTGACCCTTCATTGCATGAGACAGTGCTCCATCCAAATGAGTCACACTGGCTAGGCTCCAATGTCCATATTTTTATTGTTTATCGTTTTGTTATTGAGTTGTATGAGTTTCTTACATATTTTGGATATTAACCCCTAATCAAGATACTTCATTTGTGAATATCTTCTCCCATTCAGTAGATTGTCATCATTTTGTTGATGGTTTCCTTCATAGAGCAGAAGCTTTTTAGTTTGACATAGTCCTGTTTGTTTATTTTTTTGTTTTGTTGCATTTGCCCTAGGGGACTTATCCAAAAGATATTACTAAAACTGGTGTCAAAGAGTTTATTACCCTATGTTGTTTCCTAGGAGTTTTACGGTTTTAGGTTGAATGTTTAAGTCTTTAATCCATTTTGAGTTTATCTTTGTATATGTGTAAGAGAGTGCTTCTGTTTCTTTCTTTTTCTTTTTCTTTATCTCTTTTGCATGTATCTGTCCAGTTTTCCCAATACTACTTCTTAGAGAGACTGTCGTTTCTCCATTGTATATTTTTTACCTCCTTTGTCACAGATTAATTGACCATATAATCGAGGATTTATTTCTAGGCTATCTATTCCATTCCATTGATCTGTGTGTCTGTTTTTACACCAGTACCATACTGGGTTTCTTTTGTTTTGTTTTAATTTTTTTCTATATTGATTTTAGAGAGAGAGTTATTGAGTTGTTATTGAGTTGTATGAGTTTCTTACATATTTTGGATATTAACCCCTAATCAAGATACATCATTTGTGAATATCTTCTCCCATTGGCGGCCTCCTGCATGCCCCCAAATGGGGATCAGGCTAACAACCTGGGCATGTGTCCCAACCGGGAATCGAACTGGTGACCTCTTGGTGCATGGATCGATGCTCAACCACTGAGCCATACTGGTCAGACCATACTGTTTTGATTATTATATCCTTGTAGTATAGTTTGAAATCAGGGAGCATGATACCACCAATTTTCTTCTTCTTTCTCAAGATTGCTTTGGCTATACATGGTATTTTGTGGTACCATATAAATTTTAGGATTATTTCTTCTAGTTCTGAGGAGAATGCCATTGGTATTTTGATAGGGATTGCATTGAATCTACAGATTGCTTTAGGACATTTTAAAGATACTAGTCCTTCTAATCTATGAGTATGATATAGCCTTCCATTTGTGTGTGTGTGTGTCCTCTTCAATTTCTTTCTTCAGTGTTTTATAGTTTATAGAGTATGGGTCTTCACCTCCTTGGTTAAATTTATTCCTGGGTATTTTATTCTTTTTGATACAATTATAAATGGATTGTTTTCCTTCTGGCCATTTGCTATGACTATATAGAAATGACACAGATTTTTGTATATTCATTTTGTATCCCGCTACTCAACTAAATTTATTTATTAATTTTATTAATTTTTGGTAGATTCTTTAGGGTTTTCTATATATAGTATTATGTCATCTGCAAATAGTGACAATTTTACTTCTTCCTTTCCAATCCTAATGCCTTTGTATCTTTTTCTTGTCTGATTGCTGTGGCTGGAATTCCAATAATATGTTGAATAACAGCAGTGGGAGTGGGCATCCTTGTCTTGTTCCTGATCTTAGAGGAAAAGCTTTCAGTTTCTCACCATTAAGTATGATGTTGGCTGTGGGTTTGTTATATGTGGTCTTTATTATGTTGAGGTAAGTTTCCTTCATATCCACTTTGTTGAGAGTTTTTATCATAAATGGCTGAATTTTGTCAAATGCTTTTTATGCATCTATTGAAATGATTGCGATTTTTAGCCTTGCTTTTGTTAATGTAATGTATCACATTAATTATTTGCAGATATTGAACCATCCTTGCATTTCTGTGATGTCTCACTGGATCATGGTATATGATCTTTTTAATGTATCGTTGTATTCAGTTTGCTAGTATTTTGTTGAGAATTTTTACATCTATGTTTATCGGAGATACTGGCCTGTAATTTTCCCTCTCTTTCTTTCTTTCTTTCTTTCTTTCTTTCTTTCTTTCTTTCTTTCTTTCTTTCTTTCTTTCTTTCTTTCTTTTTCTCTTTGTAGTATCTTTGGTTTTTATGTCAGGGTAATACTGGCCTTGTAGAATAAATGTGGAAGTGTTTCTTCCCCTTCAATTTTTTGTAGTAGTTTGAGAAGGTTAGGTATTAATTCTTCTTTAAATGTCCAGCAGAATTCCCAGTGAAGTCGTTAGGTCCTGGACTTTTGTTTCTTGGGAGTTTTTTGTTTGTTTGTTTGTTTGTTTTACTGCTTCAGTTTCATTGCTAATAATTGGTCTGTTCAGATTTTCTGTTTCTTCCTGGTTCAATTTTGGAAGGTTATATGTTTCTAGAAATTTATCCATTTCTTTTAGGTTGTCCAATTTGTTGGCAATATTATGCTTCATAGCATTCTTTTATCATCCTTTGTATTTCTGTGGTGTTGGTTGTAACCCCTTTTTTCATTTCTGGTTTTATTTACTCTCTCTCTCTCTCTTTCTTAATAAGTCTGGCTAAAGGTTTCTCAATTGTGAGAATTTGAAAAGCAATTGTAAAGCACCAAGCAAATAAAAAGAACTATATAAGTGGGTTTGTTTTTTTTTTAGTTAAAAAACAATCTTTTAACTCCATCTCTTCCTTTCTGCTGAAATCTAATCTCTTTTCTCATTTTCTCCCTCTTAGCAACTACAAATACACCCTTCCTCATCAAAATCTCCTGATTACTGTCCCATTGACTTACATTTCTCACTTTTAAGATGCCTTAACTAAAATCCAGATTCATGTCGAATGCTTATACTGTTCCCCACCAGCTTCAATTTCTGTTCTTCTAACACCCTCCATAATTCCTGTCAGTTGATCACTATTCCATGTTCATTTTATATATTGCCATGCTAAAGAGCTTTGATGCCTCTGCCTAGGGTAGCTAGTCTTTTGCCAAGTGGCACATGGAGAGGAGGAGAGGAAGGGAGACTGGACTTGGAGAGGAAACAGATTGTCCCAATGCCATTCTCTACTTATCTCCATGGACGGCCATAGTTTGAGAGAGCACACTCTGTGCACCTACCCAACACCCAGAGACTCTCATAAATAGAGCAATATGATGTTCCTTTAGGTCTTGCTCCTGGCTTCTGAGCAGAATTTAACAGCTATTAATAGGAACTGTGGCAGTAATAAAGTAGACAGAACACTAAACTAGGAATCAGAAGACCTGGTTTCTAGCCCCAGCCCTGCCCACACTTACTACTGTAACCTTGACAAAGTCGCTTACACTTATTTAACCCTAATTCCCTTAGGGATAGTAATGCTCATAGCTATGAGAGTCAAACATATGTAAAATTACTTCTCTTATGCGCACACATTTTAGACTTGCATATATTAAAGAAATATTTGTTGCTATAGTCAAATCCCAATTACCAGCTACAGCTCATACATTAAAAAATCTTCAAATGCTTTGTTTTCAGCCTATACTAAAATTTAATAGCAAAAAAAGCAATGTAAAGCCAAACTAGTTTTACTGATTAATTAACTAATCAATTGATGTATGGCCATTCTTCTGTTTTAGATTATCTAAAGGTTAAAATTAGGCTTTCTCAATTTCAACATTATTGACACTTTGGACCAGACAATTGTTTCTTCTGGAGAGCTATCCTGTGCATTTTCGGATGTTTAGCAGCATCCCTGGCCTCTACCCACTCGATGTCCATCATAATAGTAAAAAATGTCTCCAGATATTGCAGAATGTCCCCTGGGGAACAGAATTGCTTTTGGTTGGTATCTATTGGGTTAAAGGATAACAAAGTGTTATTTTACATTTACATGACTAACTCCTTAAGTATGGTAATTCTATATCCTATATTTTCTATAAATTTCTACATATTACAGGTCAAAGCCACATAGAGTTAATGTTCAGGAAAATTTTTAGTATATGAGAATGATGTGAATGTATTCATTACCCCTGTCACCCACCAATATCACATATCAAAAAACTGTCCTTATCAAGATAAAGCAATAACAGTCCATTTTCTACTGGAAAATTGGCAAGTTTAAATCTTTCTAAACATCCTATAAAAACACAGACTTGATTTGTACATTGGACTTACAAGGCCTAGATTTTGTGATATATATGACAATGGCTCTCAACTGGAGGCGATTTTGTCTCCCAGGGAACATTTGGCAATGTCTGGAGAAATTTTGGGTGTCACAGAGGGAGGAGGGGCATCTCGTGGGTTGCTGCTAAACCTCCCATAAAGTATAGGACACAACAAAGAGTTATCCAGTCCAGAATATCAAAATGTTGACAGCGTTAACAAGGAACTCTGCTTATGGGAAGAATTAGGCTCTTTGCCTTTGCTTGGTTACGTGGGCTTATTCTTTGGAGAACCTAATCAAGTTTCTGTTCTTCTTTCACACAGCTGCTCATGGAACAAGTTCCTTAAATGCATGCTTATGGTCTTTCCCTTCCTAGAGTGGATGTGTTTTTATCGATTCAAGGATTGGCTTCTCGGAGACTTACTTGCAGGTATAAATGTTGGCATTGTGCAAGTTCCCCAAGGTAAGGAAGATACGAAGCCTTTTTACCCACAGACAATACATCAGCCCTTGTCCACTTGTCCAGAGTAAACAATACTTCTATTAGATAAATAGAAAAAAAAGATGTGAATTTCATTCACATCATTACCATTTATTTGTTCCCGTACCTGCCAGATTTCTAACTCAGAATGGTTCCAAAGGACTGTTTAGTTTGGACCCCTGAATACTTCCAAGAGTATCTGCATTGCCCATTCACAATCTCTCTCTCTCTCTCTCTCTCTTTTTTTTTTTCTTTGCTTAACTGCTCAGTCCCTATTCACATGACCACAGTAGCCCTTATTGACATTGGTTTTACTTAGAAAGGTGAAGAACTGAAACCTAGCATGCAAGTACCTTTCACTAAGTCACACACACAGCAGTCCAGGGGCTGCTTTTTGGTCTTCCAATTGCCAGTTCAGATTTAAGACAAGATTGAGCAGACAGGTAGGGAGCTAGATGGGCTTTAGAAGCTCATTTCCCATATGGGAACCAACCTCTCTTGTAATTTTCATTAACTCTTGCTTCCATTATCCCACATGAGACATGCCCAGTTACAAGATCAATGTGCTCAGAGAAGCCAAAGCTAGGGCTTCCCACTGGATACTTTCTTGCATTCAGTCCTCTTGGTCCATAGAGTATACTCATTGGGCTCATTTTTACTATAACCAATGTTGGCTGGTAACACAGCTGACATTCCACTGTTATCAGGCTTCAAAAAAGCATCTGGAGCCCTGGCCGGTTTGGCTCAGCGGTTAGAGCGCCCGCCTGCGGTCCGGAGAGACCCGGGTTTGGTTCCCGCTAAGGGCATGTACCTCGGTTGCAGTTTGTCCCCGGCCCTGGTTGGTCGTGCGGGTGGCAGCCACTCGATGTGTCCCTTTCACGTCGATGTTTCTCTCTCTCTCTCTTCCTCTCTCTCCCTCCCACTCTGTCTGTACAAAAAATGGAAAAATGTCCTCGAGTGAGGATAAAAAAAAAAAAAAAAAAAGCATCTGGAAAGTTAACCCAAGATCAAATTTATCCACAGAGAAAGAGAAAGGATTTTGTTAATCCTTTGCTCACAGTGGTTCACAGTTCCCTACATAGTCTTTAAACACCTCTATTTCTTTTTTCTTCTGGGGTCAACCAGGCAGGATTGAAACTTGTGACTGCACAGGTTGTGTGTAGCACAAAAGAGGCAAACCAAAGGGGCAAGTGGTAGCATTCTGACACAGAGCTGTTAGTTAAGGAAAGGGATCCCTTTTTAAAAAATTATCATACAGGAAAGTTGACTTTTTTCCTTTTGGTGTATGGTTGTATGACTTTAAATGCATATATAAATTTATGTAACCACCACCACAACCAAGATGCATAACAGTTCCATCAGCCCCAAATCCCTCTTGTGCCATCCCTTTTTAGTCACATCCTCCCCTAACCCCTGGCCACCACTGATATGTTCTCTATCACCAAGTTCTGTTTGTTTTGAGAATATACTATAAAATGGACTCATCTAGTATGTAACTTTTGAAGGATGGCTTCTTTAATTCAGCATTAGGTTATATGCATCAATAGTTTGTTCCTTTTTATCGCTGAGTAGTATTCCATTGTATGGCTGTACCATAGTTTGTTTATCCATTCACTTGTTGATTAATATTTTGTTTCCAGATTTGGACTGTCACAAATAAAGTTGCTATGAACATTCATGTACGGATTTTGTGTGAACAATTGTTCATTTCTCTAAAGTAAATACCCAATAGTGGTATTGATGGTCCTATGATAAAGTGTATTTTAACTTTATAGGAAACCGCCAAACTGTTTTCCAGAGTGGCTGTACTTACCATTTCACATTTCCACCAGCAATGTCTGAGAATTCTAGTTCCTCCACACCCTTGGAAGCAGTTGATATTAAAATGTCTACTTTAAGGTGATTGTAGGTTTACATGCATTTGTAAGAAACTACAGAGCAATCTCTTGTGTCCTTCACCCACTTTCCCCAGTAACATGTTGCAAAATATAGTTCAATCTTACAACCAGGTTATCGGTATTGATACAGTATAGATACAGAACATTTCCACCACCACAGGGATCCCTCTTGTTGCCCTCTGATGATCACCCCCCCTTGTCTCCCATTTCCTCCTTAACCTCTGGTAACCACTAATCTATTTTTCATTTTGATACTATTGTAATTTCAAGAAGGTTCTGTGAATGGAGTGATACATATGTAAACATTTGGGATTGGCTTTTTTCAACATCTTAATTCTCTGGAGATTTATCTACACTGTTGTGTGTATCCATAGTTTATTCCTTTTTATTGCCAATTAGTATTCCATGATGTGGATGTACCACCGCTTGTTTAAACATTCCCCCTCATAAGACATTGGAAATGTTTGCAGCTTTTGGCTATTACAAATACAGCTTCTATGGACATTTGTGAGTAGGTTAGTGAACATAGTCCTCATTTCACTGGGACAAATATCCAGAAGTGCAATTGTTGGCTTGTAGGGTAGTTACATGTTTATTTTTATTTTTTTAAGAAAATGCCAAGCTGTTCTCCAGAGTGGTTGCATCATTTTTCATTCCTACCAGTAATCTATGAGTAATCCGGTAGCTCTGCATCCTCACTAGCGTTTGGTATTGTCACTACTTTCGATTTTAGCCATTCTGATAGGTATGTAATGAGAGCTCACTGTGGTTTCAGTTTACATTCCCCTAATGGCTACCAGTGTTGAACACCTTTTCATATGTGAATTTTCCATCTCTGTATTTTAATGAATGGCTCTTCTTGTCTTTTGTTCGTGTTCTATTAGATTGTTTGCATTTCTACTATTGAGTTTTGAGAATTATTTAAATATTTTAGATACTAGTCCTTTGTCAATTGTGTTTTGCAACCATTTTCTCCGAGGATATGTTTTTATTGGCTTGAGAGAGAGAGAGAGAGGAAGGAAGAGAGAGAGAGAGAGAGAGAGAGAGAGAGAGAGAGAGAGAGAGAGAAACACTGACATGAAAAAGAAACATTGATCGGCTGCCTCCTGCATGCCCCCTACTGGGGATCAAGCCCGCAACCCGGGCATGTGCCCTGACGAGGAATCAAACCCGCAACCTTTTGGTGCAGGGGACAATGCTCCAACCAACTTAGCCACCTGGCCAAGGCTACAGTCTGTCTTTTCATCCTCTTAACAAAGTATTTAAAGAGCAGATTTTTTTATTTTGATGAAGCCTAGTTTCTAGTATCTTTTACTTTAGTCATTCTAAGAGGTTTGTGGTAATATATCACTGTATATGGTTGGCTAATGAGGTTGAACATCTTTTTATGTCCTTATTTGCCATCCTCATATCCTCTTTGGTGAAGTACTTGTTTGAGTCCTTTGCCCATTTTTTAAATTGGAATTTCGGTTTTCTTATTGTTGATTTTTGAGAATTCTTTATGTATTCTGGATACAAGTTCTTTGTAGATTTGTGATTTGCAAATACTTTAGCTCAGTCTGTAGCTTATCTCTTCATTCTCTTGACAGTATCTTTCACAGAGCAAAGTTTTAATTTTGAAAAAGTCCAATTTATCAGTGTTTTTTCTTTTACAGATTGTGCTTTTTCTATCATATATTGGAACTCTTCACTGAACTCCAGGTTACAAAGATTTTCTCTTAATGTTTTCTTCTAAGTCTTACAGTTGTATGTTTACATTAAGATCTGTGATCCATTTTGAGTTCATCTTTACATAATGTGTGAAGTTTAGGTCAAGATTTATTTTTGTTGCATTTTCAGCATCATCTTTAAAGAAGACTATCCTCCATTGAATTGTTTTTGCACTTTTGTCAAAGATCAAATAACCATATTTTTGTGGGTCCATTTCTGGACTCTCTATTCTGTTTCATTGATCTATGTGTCTAACTCTTAGCCAATGTCATGTCTTTATTATTGTATCTTCATAGTAAGTCTTAAAATTGGGTAGTGTGATTCCTACAACTTTTAAAAAATTGTTTTAGCTGTTCTTCCATATACATTTTTTTGTCTATATCTACAAAAAAAATCTACTGAGATTTTGATAGCTGTTGCATTAATTAAAAGATCACTTTGGGGAGAATTATGTTGAGTTTGCAGTTCATGACCACAGTATGTCTCTCCATTTATTTAGGTCTTCTTTGACTTCTTTTGTTAGCATTTGTAGTTTTCAGCATACAGATCCTATGCATATTTTTTTAGATTTATAGCTAAGTATTTTGTTTTGGGGGGAGATATTGTATGTGATAATTAAAAACAAGTTTGGTTTCCAGTTGTTCATTGTTTGCATATAGAAATATAATTGATATTTATGTGTTCGCCTTATATCCTGCAATTCACTTATTAGTTCTAAGAATTTTTTTTTTATAGATTCTCTGGAATTTACTGCATTGACAATCATGTCCTCTGTAAATAGGAACAGTTATATTTCTTTCTTTCTATTACAAATGACTTTTATGACATTTTCTTGCTTATTGTCCTGAAAGTAAGACTTCTACTACTATATTGAACAAGAGAGGTGAGAATAGGCATTCTTGCCTTGTTCCTGAACTTAGGAGAAAAACATTCGATATTTTACCACCAGTTATGATGTGAGCTGTAGGATTTTTTTAGATGCACTTTATTAGGTGAGAATTTTTGTCATGAGTAGATGCTGTATTTTGCCAAATGCCTTTTGTGCACATATTGAAATGATCGCGTAGTTTTTATCTTTTGACTGTTAATATAGTGGATTACATCAACTGATTTTTAAATATTGAACTGGCTACAAATCAAAATGATCCATTCACTTCCTGGAAGTACATTCACTTCCAGGAAGGTATCAGGAAATCCCTAGAGCTTCCCTGTGGTGTTGCTGTGATCGACCTGAACTCTTGGCACTGATGCTTTAACTGTGAATCCCCTACTCACTCCTGCTTATCAACTTTATGGTCAAACTTTGAGGACATCCTATTGCTAAATTACCAAGTCATGAGTGTAGTTTGGTACCAAAATAAGAATGGCATTAGA